AACAAATTAGCTACCCTTTTTATGCCTATTAAGATTCACAATCATATGATAAAACTTACAATAAATAAATATATTTGTATTTCAATATATTGGGGAGGGAAGGGGGGGGGGGAGAATAAAGTGGTTACCTTCAAAAATAAATCATGGTTTAACATTACAACATTACACCTTCCAAAAAAAATAAGAAGAAATGCTCTACAAGTACTTTGCCACATAAGCGTGGAACTTAATCAATATCCTCCTCCCATAGTACTAAACTATTTTTAAATAAATAGTTTTCAGTTTTAACACGAGTATAACATTAAATCTACAAGTACCGGTTAGGCCGAAAAGTTAAAGACTCACAAAGACCATAGTTTTGCTACTTAAAATCGCTGCGGTGTACGCAGGCCACAGACCATGATTTAGCTAGGTACACCGCCGCGGTGTACGCAGGCCAAAGTCAATAGTTTCGCTAGGTACACCGCGGCGAAGTGGTTAAGAAGTTAGAACTGAATTACTGAAAACTTTAGACTTTAGGTGAAATCAATTGTCAATGAGTCAATGAGTAATGTAAATGAGACTGAAGTTGAATTTTCTGGAGTCTTATTCTGAAGCAGTGCGTAGGCCTACTAGTAGTACTAATCGAAAGTGAGTTAGGGGGTGACTGTGAAATGAGTCTGACTGAAACTTAAGTGTTTGGCCAGATCCTATAATATTATTTTTTTTGTTGTTTTGGTTTGGAGTTTAGACCAAGTCTAAGTAAGTTAGACTTTGACGACTAATCGTTGAATATGGAATATCTTTGATAAGACTCGTGTTTTCTATAATCTGCTTCCCGTCAACCAAAATGTACATGTCTATTCTTATTTTTAGGCCATCGCCGATAACAAACATAAGGAAAGGATTTGTTGAGTTTTTGTTTATAAAATAAATTTTTACCTGGAAATTCCTGTTTTGATGTTAGCACTAGATGGCGTACTTGTTCTTTGTTTACTTCCGTGAGCCATTGAAAAGTCTACAAACCATCAAAAAACGTTTCTTTCCCCCATGCACCATGTAAACCCATTGACTACATTAAAAAGTTTATTAAATTTCCAAAAACATAGTTATTTGTGTTCTTTTTTAAAATATGATAATGCGATTTTAACACTATATAAGAGCTAACAGAAAAGTTATACAAATTCTTTTTTTTTCTTTTTTTTAAAGAATTATTGCCTTGCTTGGCCTATTATCTTTGTTTTCATTCATTTAACTCAACTCAGGGGTGACTTACCCAAAAAAACTTTGATAGTGAGTTAACCGTGTGCGGTCCGCATTTCATAACACCTTATATTAAAATAAACACCAACTAAATGCGGAATAGAAATGTTTACTTATTCTTAATGCACATAATAAAAAGCTAAATAACAAAACAATAAAACAAAATTAATGTGATATCTGAGATATCATGTAGTCTATGTAGTTTTTTCTCTCACTTCTTATCTTTTTAAAAATCGATTTCTTGTTCGATGAACAAATACTAAATTATTTGTGACGAATCAGGCATTCACGGACCACAATATTTTACGTAAAAGGCTGCGTGCACTGGGTATTGACTTTAATATTTGCAGTATGCTACTTCCCCAATATTATGTTTTATTTTATATTTAAACAAGCGAGTAGCCTACCAGACATGCATTGCAATGCCACTCGAGAAAGAAAGTTTTTGCGTTTTAATTACGTTTTTTTTAAAGTAATTTTTATATAGACAATAAAAAAAAATTCCGTCTGGTGCATACACCAATAAATTAGAAGGTTTTTCGACATGTGAGCAGGCCACATACAACTGTGAGAAGCATGGATTTTCAAAATTTCGTCCACGCACTTGTAGCGATTGATTCATCCATGAAATAGCTCTGTTTGGAATTATACTTACGTAGATCAAAAAATAAAAAATAAACCATTTAAGGCCCCCGACCCCAAACGGAATATTGTAAAATGATTTTACTAATTCAGAAACCTACTTATTATGTCACACACAAAATGAAATGTAGTTAAGTAGTTATTTTTATTTGATTAAATTCCATCCAACCATGCATTAGCTTCGTTTGAAAATATATTTATATAGCTCATATCAGGGGAAAAAACGAATTTAGGGCCCTCTGCCCCAAACCGAATATTGTAAAATGGTTGTACTAATTTAGGAACCTTTGCAGGCGTGCGGTCAACTCACTAAAGTTTTATCGCAATCGGATGAACGGGATATACATACATGAGCAAATTTTAAGTACCAGTGATGTTGTCATAAGATTAAGGAATCTCTAAAGACGCGGGACTTATAAAAGGGACTCGCGGCGAACTCAGCTGGACAGGAAAGTGCACAGTCGGGGAGAGCTCCGACGGACAGGTGTAGAGGACCAGTCGTGAGGACACAGAGGACAGACGAGAGAAACCCATAACAAAAGAGAGAAAGACGAACCGAGGACAGTCAGAGCAGTGTTTCTTTCAGAAATTTTCCCCGGGGGGGGGGGACTTAAGGATTTCGGGGGGGGTGGGGGGGGGGACCGGAGATTTTGCTGGGGGGGGGGGGCAGTGCCAGCAGTTCCAGTTTACTTTTTGTTGGACAAACTACGCATTAATCCCTTCCCCCACACACACACACACTTTTTTAAAAAAAAACATTTATTTAATTTATATTTTATATAAAAACAAAAATAATCAATTAAAATAGTTATAATTCTTTTCAGCTACAAATTGAATAAAGTTGGTCTACTTCTTAAAATAGATTGACATCACGTGCATGATCATGTGACTTGTAAAAAAAAAAATGTTTTCAAAAATAATTGAAAATTCCAAACAATGTTGGACTACAGTATTTAATTCAGTTAGCTTACTTTTTGTTATACTAATACAACAAAAAGGATGCGTTCTTGGATCACAACCAAATATTCTTTTAATTTTAGCTGATGACCTCGTATGTATAATTTTATTATATAATATTTAGAAATTAATTTCTAATTCTAAAAAAGACCAAGTCTAAACTAAGTTACCGTCTAACTTACTAGTACTAGTTAGTCTAAGAATTTGAAGAAAGAAACAACTACTAAACACTAGAAGTAGACGACCAAATCAGGCTGTGGAGTGGATTCAGGGTGGTCTTTTTATTTATATTAATTTAATAATCATTTTAAAATTAAAGTAAAACACACAATCCTTACTTACCTTACATTTACATTATTAGACAAGGTATGTGAATGTGGATGGACTACTAAACTAATATAAAATTTATATTATATTATATTACAACTACAATTACAACTACAATACTTGAATCTACTATATATTTTAATAAAATATATAAATATAATTATAATATACCGGTAGTGTTAGTATATATATGTAATACCATATGTATAGATTATAGAAAAATCACATTTTTGTAAGTTCAAGAACATCATTTCAATCAATAGCTAACATCCAGTGCTTTTTTTTTGGTGTGACTTTGTAGATAAAAAGGGGTGGAACTGTCACTTTGACTTTGATCATGGATTTTACTGAAATGGGGTGTGGGGGGGGGGGGGCTCGGGGTATAGAGCCCCGCCCCAGAAATGTTTTGCTAAATTCCAAATGCATGCAGGGTTGCATTTTGGCGCATACCTGAATTTATTTTTAACTGTCACTTTGACTTTGATCATGGATTTTACTGAAATGGGGTGTGGGGGGGGGGGGCTCAGAGTATAGAGCCCCGTCCCAGAAATGTTTTGCTAAATTCCAAATGCATGCAGGGTTGCATTTTGGCGCATACCTGAATTTATTTTTGCATTATTCTAATCTTAATTGGTGAGCAAAAGAAAAAATGCTTGTGGAAATTTAGATGTTCCTGGACTTTATGAAAGTAAATTTCCTAAAGACCTTTCTTTTAATATTCATTAACAATATGGGCAACTTGATTCCCTTAGATAGAAGCATGAGGCCCCCTAGAAGCATGAGGGTCTGGTCAACTGTCCAGTGTGCCCATGCCTTAAGACAATACTTGTCATAGTGACATATTGTCATTATCAGTGGCGCTACAGCCTATGTAGGGCCCTGGCCTGCTCCACCACATCCTTCCATTCGTAGCGATCCATGCGCAAACCCCCAACTGGTGTATATCCATCTCCACATCGTCAATCCATCTCAGCCTTAAGCGACCCATGAGTTGTCTGCCCCTAGGCCAGTTTATAACTTTTGCTGCTCTACATTCCGGCATCCTTTCAACATGTCCTGCCAAATGTAGTCTGCCTTTTTTTATCATTGTGACATATTGCGCATGATGAATCAACTCAAAAGCAGAAGCTTCAGAGGGTTTGCTTGTTTTGTGTCAACTGTCATGTCATGTGTTCAAATACGTTCTGGTCTCATTGTCGCAATAGCTCATTCTTGCTAAATACCACACTGGCTTGATTGAATATGTATGGGAATTCGATTAATGTGAACCCTGGAGCACACATTATCCTCTCCACAGTACAAGATACAAAATTAGAAATGAACTATACACATTTACTCTTTTTAAAATTTAAAACAAGCATAATTATTAACAACATATAATTTTACAGGGTTGGGACGATGTTGGTTTTCATGGATCAGAAATCCTTACACCCTACATTGACAAATTAGCTCAAGAGGGCGTCATTTTGAATAACTACTATGTGCAACCCATTTGTACACCATCTAGAGGTGCACTACTTAGTGGAAAATATCCTATTCATACAGGTAGAACATTTCTATGGTTTCAGTTTTAAATAAATGCCTTTTTTGTGTATTCAATTTTAATTTCACCATTTTAATTTTGAGCAATAATAAAATTATTATTATTAAATAAATCTCATATATTTTGAAAGAAGTGGTGATGTAAGGTCATCAATTTACTGTCTTGTCACTACAAAAAAATAGTTTTAAAAACTGTTTTCTTTTTTCATTATGTTATAAAATATGAAATGTTTTCAGATAAGTTAATGCCGGTAAATACTTACTCTTAAACTTTTTTTTTTGCGTTATACCATAGCCATAACAGTTTATGAGGATTAAACATAAAATGGAACCAGGAATATAAATTTTACAGGATTATTGTGACCAATTGAAATGCTCAATAGTTGCTGATGAAGCTAAAAGTATTTATATTATAAAGAATAAATTGTCATTGTCAAGTTTATTTATTTTCATTCAAAAAAAATATTGATAATTTAATTTCAAGTTCAACTTTTATATTGTTCATTTTGAAAGGACTTCAGCACTATGTGATAGCAGGGTCCCAGCCATATGGGCTACCTTTGACAGAAATCACTCTGGCACAGCATCTCAGGTCTCTGGGATATAGCACACATGCCATTGGAAAAGTGAGAAAACTGTGTTAATTAATTTAGGATTTTATTTATTGTTAAAAATGTTAGTTTATTGTTCTAGAAAGGAAATTTAAAAAATTGTAAGTAGTTCAATGATGTGTAGAGAAACTAGGCTGTTTTTTCCAAGATCAAATCTGAGAATATATGCAAAACACAATTTCAGTTAGTAAATACATTTTGTTTAGAAGGATATTTTATTATTATTATTTTAGTATAGTTTTTTTATTGCTTATTACTATATGGATTTACATCAGATGGAGATCTGTACATGGAGATGAAAAGCCATAGATCAGTCTGCATGAAAGGATGTGGTAGAGCAGGCCAAAGCCCTATAGGGGCTGTAGCCCCATTGATGATAATTTTGATGATATTACAAATGTTAATACTGCTATTAGAAATTGCTTGTGCAAATTTATTCTAAAAATAATCGTACTTATTAAATTTTTCCTTAGTGGCATTTAGGTTTCTTCAAAAATGAATATCTCCCAGAAAATCGTGGCTTTGATTCTCATTATGGATATTATCTAGGAAAAGGAGATTACTTTGACCACTACAGCAATGATGGCGTAAGGATTTAATGATATTTTTTATAATTTATTGTCCAAATTTATAATATATAATACATTGATATTTCAAAAGTGTGTCTTTTATATATCTGCAATGTAATTCATTAATATTATTTGCCTATTTAGAGTTTCTTGTCTATTAAAATATGTTAAAAGTATCACTAAATTCAAGACAAAGTGTGATGTTCTATTATTCTTTGTTTACCAAATCAAACAATCAAGGGATTCATGGGTTTAGACATCCATCAGAATGGTCGGCCAGTTTGGAATGAGACAGAAATATACTCTACTGACCTGTTCACAGAGAAGGCTAAGTCTGTAATAAGAACACATGATAAATCAAAGGTAAATTGTGTATATATATATATATTTTTCTTTTTTAAATTGTTTTTGCCGGTGCCAACATATTATCATATTGTAAAAGATATGAAATTATTTTCAAACGCTGTATTTACAACTGATATTAGAGTTTTACATCTTAAAGGTTTCATTTTCTTAATCAAAATATTATGTTTAACAGTTTTGAAACAAAAATACTTTGTAACTATAATTAAAATCATGATCGTTCTGGCCTTTTATCAACAGTGTTTAAATGGTCATGACTTTTGATTTTTAAGAATGATGAACTGTAATGTGTAATATTATTCAGACAGTTAACATAATGCACCACAATGAAAATTCAGTTTTAAAGCCACATAAAGCCTCACAATCTTCCTATGCTTAAATGTATATTAATGGACATTAATTGTCCTTGGAATAATTTAATAGTGAGAACAGGATATGTGACAGCTTGAATAACAATACAACACAATCAAAAGAATGTTTTAGCTGACATCAGCAAACACAGTAAAAAGACAAAAGAGAACAAGATTATAAGGACATAGCTTGCAACTGTTGATAAATTGATAACAAGATTTGGTACGTTGACTCCCTAACAGATAAACCAAATCCACAATTTTTACGTAACAGCCATGTCTTTTTCTGGTTTGGTTTTTTACAAGTCCAAGTCACTTACTTTCCATTCTTCTTTACTTTGTTTCTGTCTGGTTTTTTTTCACCTACCCTTATTTTTTCTCCTTTTTTTAAGTACCGGGTAGGATCTATGTACATATAGATTATGTAAATTTAATTTATACTTATTTAATTGTTTTGTTGCTGTACTGATGAAGGCATGTGCCGAAACATATACTTGTGAATTATGTAAAATTATTATTAAAGCTTAACATATATTGTTATATTGACACAAATTGTTTGTGTCTAATTAAACTGTTGAAGGAAGTTGTTTAAATCCAACATGAAAACGTTACCAAGGAAGTGTGTAATAAAGTGTAAGAATCGGATATTTTTTATTAAAACGCATTGTGTCTCATTAATCAAAGTTTCTAAATTTAATCAAATAAAATAACATTAGAGGGAAATGGAAGATTAATAGTACTTAATTAATTAATTCTTCAATCCTCACTCCCACTTGCGTATTTGTGTATTAGCCATGGAACTCAAACCTTTTTGGCCTTATGTATGTAACTTATTCATTATGTTTCCAGCCACTATTTTTGTACCTTGCCTTTCAAGCCGTCCATGCTGGCAATAAAGGTGACCTTATTCAAGCTCCACAAAAATATATTGACAGGTTTCCTAAAATTAAGAACATCAAGAGGAGAATGTTTGCAGGTAATTTTAAATTCTTGTCATAAAAATCATACATTGTATACATCTTTTCTCAGTTGCTGCTTTATGCCGACAATAAACAAAAAGAAAAAAATGGCAAAATTAATTTACCATATTTTAGTCAATAATTGATGGTTGTTTTCGTTCTCAACTAACTCCCTCTAGGTGTAGTATCAGCTTTAGATGACTCGGTGGGCAGTGTTTACAGAGCTCTGGTAGATGCTGGGATGGAAAACAACACTGTAATAGTCTTTAGCACAGATAATGGTGGTCCTGCTAATGGATATGATGGAAACGCTGCCTGTAACTGGCCTCTCAGGTGACCGCACGTTTTGAACATTATTTGTTGGTTTTTTTTAAAAAATATTTTTAACTTACATAACAGTATAATGCTTGCAAATTTCTACCACATCATCAGCATCATGTTCCTTAGTCCTTGGACCGTTGGGGCGCCACAGATGATATGACAACTATCCTTCTCCATTCCTCTTTGTTTTCTGCACAGCATCGCCTTGTTTTAGTCCCATCCACTCTTTGATGTTATCTTCCCATCTTTCCCTCTGTCTTCCTCATCATATATTTAAATAACTTAAATAGACCAGACTATATTTCTTACTGCTCTTGGGAAAGAAGTTAGAACTGTTTTGAACAAATTTTTTTGTCACTATTTAACTTAAGTTAATGAAACCTTTTTTTAAAAATTAATTTAAAATACTTTCATATTAGGATTGGGGGTGGGGGGGGGGGTGTTGATTAAAATATGTTTAAATTTTTTACTGAATTTCATTTTGTGCATTAAATTATTCTGAAATTAATTTTGTATAACATTTTATTTGAAAACATACCTTAGTTTTTAATGTGGTGCTATTTTATAATCTTTCAGAGGCACTAAAAATACATTATGGCAGGGTGGCGTACGAGGTGTTGGGTTTGTCCATAGTCAGCTTCTCAAGAAAAACTCTTATGTCAATAACAACCTGATGCATGTTGTAGATTGGCTGCCAACACTCATTGATATTGCAGGAGGTGATGTGTCTGTGCTGGGAAACATTGATGGAATAGACCAGTGGAAAAGCATTTCAGAAAATGAGGAAACTTCACGTCAGGAGGTCTTGCTAAATATAGATCCTGTGATGAAACATGAGGCGTTGATTGTTGGAGATTTCAAAATTATTTTTGGCGATATTTCAAATGGGCATTATGATGGATGGTATCCTCCCCCCACTGAGGCTTCCATACCTGAATTAGGCACTTTTGGCGGCAACAATTTATTATATTATTACAATATTTTGATGGAATATCTGTCAGGAAATCAAAGTAATTTAAATGGCTACTCTAAGACCATTGATGAAATACAAAAATCTGACGTGGCAGACCTAATTCATGTCATGAATGCCGAGTACACGCTCCTAAAAGAAGTACATAAACAAACATATTCTCTTTCATTTTTACCAAACAGCCAGTTAAAGTTAAATGAACAAAGATCTAACAAAATACAAACAAAATTTGTCCATTTTGAGCAACAAATTGTTCATGATGGAAAAGATAAGTCGGAAAGCCCAGCCATATCAACATTCTCTGTGCACTGTGGTGTAAAACCAGAAAATGCATCCATAAATTGCCAACCAGAGAAAGCTCCTTGTCTGTATCACTTAAGAGATGATCCTTGTGAGTACAACAATCTGGCTACCAGTCTGCCAATAACAGTTCAACAGTTGATGGCCAGACTTAATTTATACAGAGATACTATGATTCCCCCAGCTAACAAACCTATAGATCCTAACGGAAATCCTCAATTGCATGGTGGAGTATGGGGACCTTGGATGTGACCAGTGTGTAAGCTACAAGTGTCTACAAAGGTTTCTCATTGCCCAGCATTTATCCCGTGAAAATGAATGTTTTCCTTATTGAAGTCCAGGAATATAAATAATTTCATTTAAAATGTTGTATAAACTGAATTAAATTTAGTGAAAATCAATATTCTCTATCTTTGTATACATCTGGAGTTTTTGTCACCATTTAAAGAATCCAGTTAACCTGGGTAGCTGTGTACTTTTGATGGTCGTGTTGGCTCAGTTTGCTTATTTCAAGCAGGCTGCACTTCATACTGTTATCAAGTTCCTTTTCAACCACCAAAAGTGAAGTTTGAACAATCAAAACTTGTGTATCAGTCTTATCGTCATCTTCGTTACCACAGTCATAGGAAAACTTTCCTTGGAGACTCTTATTTCCCTAACACACAAACACTTTTGGGGTACAAAATTGATTGTGGATAAGTATAGTCACGCAAACATTTCTCAAATCAAACCTTTAACTAAAATCTACCCATAAAATCAATTACCATTATCTCAAATCTACCTAACAAATTACCACTACCTCAATTTACCCATCAAATTAGTTACCACTACCTCAAACTTACCAAAGCTTCTCTTAACCCCAATAATCAACAGCATACACGTTTGACACATCCCAGAAGCATATTTCAGTATTTTGACTTAAGCTTTGACTCGAGCTTTGCATTAACTCTTTATGGGGCAAGTGTTTCCAGTTTGACCTTCTTGGAGATTAGACAATGCCTTCATGCCAATGTGGGGAGGCCAAATGATTACATTTTGTATGCCACATGGTTAATCAGCTCTAATATTCAATGTTCAATAATTCTTTTAACTAAAGCTACATTTTAGTAAGTGTTCACGGTTAAAAATGTAAAAAAGGTTGAAAATGCAGACCTGTTTACTCCTACAATTTTGGCGTACAATGTACAATTTTGAGGCGTATACATTATATACACTGTACGTTTATTTTTTACTATTAAGATAATTTATTGAATGATTTTGTGATGATATTGTACGATTTTAAGAGTTTTGGGGTAAACAGGTCTGAAAATGTAAAAAAACAGCAACATTTTTCAATTACCAAGTTCTTTTTTTTTAAATTTGTGAAACAAAAAGACATCTGACAGGGGTAAATTACATATTTATTCAGTACAACATTTACAGTCATTGTCAATGATTTTAAAAGAGCAGGAAGTTAATTATGTACACATCAACAGAATAAGTCAGATGGGACATGTCACATTTTGCAGATGGATGACATTTTATAAATTAAGTATGTGACATTTGATATGGTGCTTCTCCTCCTGCATCACATACTTTATAAGGGAGGGGGGAAATCCTTAATGAATGATATAATCCATAGTAACAGGCCTGAGAAAAAAAGTTAATTTGTAATTGACTAATTGTCATGAATTTTTTTTTTTTTTAAAGACTCATTTCATCAGAATTAGAGCATTTAATCAACATTTTCAGGCCATGTAAATTCATTAAGAAAAGCTTATCATGTTTTTTATATTTGTTAAATATTCAAAATTTATGTATAATTCCTGTTGAAACATGATGATTCCTTAGCCAAAATTTCAGAAAGGTGAAATATATGCTCCAATGATGAAAAGCTACAAACAAAGTGGACACTTGTAACATATCTTTTGGAGAATGTCAAATAATCTATTTGTACAGATTTAAGACAGCTAATCTATCTGTACAGATTTAAGACGGCTAATTTAACTGTACAGATTTAAGACATGTTTGGGAAAACAAATGAAACTACAGTATTAGCTATGGTTTATGATGAGTCAACAAACTGTTTACAGCATTGATTATCATCTGTTTATAGATACCGGTACTGTACACTAATTTACATACATGGCATATGCTACATAACACTCCAGGTGACTGAACTATGGCCATGAAAAGAATCACTTAGGTCATTTATCATATGATTAAATAGTGAATTCATTAAGTTTGCCAAGCAGCTCATGTAATGCTGCACCTAAGTGATGCTACAATCAGTGAATGTATAGTCTTTAATATTAATAGTCACAAATCTCTTTTGGTGTCAAATGTGTACCTGGTTGATGTACTCAATTTAAATTGATTCTTATCTTTAAGAACTCATAACAGCCAAACACTTCTTATTTCAAATAAGGTTTTTGGTGCGCAAAATATATTTCCAGCAATTGTATTGTTTCAAGCTGATGTATAGCTTTAATAATGCTAATGGCTATGGAGGTAATTCAATGTGAGCTTAACAAGACACGAAACAAAACTTGATGAAAACTTCACATATTTAACATTCAAGTACATATCTTAACATTTTCCTCAATAAATAATTTTATTACATTGGAAGGGATATCCAACTTCTAGATCAATGCAAAAAATCTGAGGGGAGGGGCAACTGCAAACTTATGGGAGTTTTGAATTGCATAAAATTCCAAGGCCAGGGTAGCTAATTGAAAGTAAGAGTTAAAAAAAACTGAATCCTTCATCTGCACTCAAATGAATCCCAACATAAAATAAAAAGAGAAGCTTCACACAACTGGATTCAGCAAGGATGATGAGAATTGAAAAAGGTTTGGTAACTTATGGATAAATTCCTATTTAAATCCAATTACCTAAAGACTGCAGTTCTTGGTCTTAAGCTCAGGAAAAATAGCACTTTTATTTAAAGAATAAATCTCTTATTGAATCTACTCTCTTATTGACAATTTTCATTGGAAGAATGTATTGATATACTAAAAATAAAAACAATTTCAGTTTTCGAACTTCTCTGATCATAAGAGAAACAGTAAAATAAGGCTTCATGTTCATATTTGCTTAAGGTAAATTTATTTTATACTGGTAATGAACCAAAAGTTTAGACCTTTAAAAAAATTCAGAGTAACAGGTTTCAGCAAATTTATAATTATGCTTTTCACCCCGCACTGTTCTTAATAAGAAAATATGTTACGTAACTAGCATCACATAACTATTTAGATTTTTAGTTCTTGAAATATTAATATTCTCCTAAACTAAACCAAAGCTAACAAATTCAAAGTTCATAAGGCATGAGCTAAAGAACATTTTGAAAAGCAGGAACCATTTGTAATACCTTATTTATTTAAAAATATAAAAACTATAGTGAACTTTGAGATGTATTCCTTGAAAAGTGCATTGATTTAGAAAATAATACAAGCTATGATAAACTGAGACACATGTTTAGAATTGCCATTTTTCCTTCTCATGTACATACAAAATGATGTCAAGTCATTGCACAAACTTTACTAATGGAGGAAAAAACATTTGGTAAAACTCATCAATTAAACGTGTTACCCTCTGTTGATTTTTATTCTACAAAAGCCCAAATGGCGTTCATTTCTACAAAAGCCCAGGTGGTTAGTCTTTTTAAAAAAAAAAACAACACAACCTAAAATGCTCAACAGAAGCCTTAATGAATCAAATTTGTTTAGACTGAACAAGTGTTACAATACAAGCACAATCATTTTGCATTCACACATATAATATAACTGCCTTATTCCTAAGGCTTTAGGTGAAGCAAATAGTAAAGAGAAAGTCAATTCTATGTCCAGTAAACAAGCTGTTGTTTTTACTATTACACTACAGAAGGTTAGCTACAACTTTATTGTTTAGCAATTGATATCAAATTACTAATCATCAAAGCACTCACAAGGTAAAATGATTACCAAGGTTATAAAAAAAATATTTAAATAAAAAGGAACTAAAACTTGACACAGCCTTGAATTTCAAGATTCCAAATATAATAAACTTAGCAAAGTAAAACTGCTATTTTGTATTAGATGAAAGTCAATGATGTAAATTGAGTTACCAATTCTTAACAGTGGCCTTGCATGCTCTCCGCCATTAAAAAAATAAGTAAGCCATTTAAAATTTTTACAATTTACCGGGTAATTAAGAATTCATAAGTTAAAATATAAGAATAATAATGCCCTACGAACTGATATTTATAACGCTTTCAACTGTCTGCTCAGAATCTTAACAACTCTACCAATATGTATTTATATATGTGAAAAGTTCCCTGCTGGTATAAGTGCCTACGTTTTCCACAACCTATTTAGTATTGGGATGAAAGCAGTCATGTTCAATTTATTTCTTTGATTGAATGCAAAGACTGAAGGAGTAAGGATTTACTTAAAGAGGAAGCAGCACTACAATGTAGTATTTATTTGCAGTAACTGCAACTACACTAGGGAGTGCAAGTGCACTGTTATAAAATTAGGTTGTTCATAAGAAAATAGGTTGTTTGTCTAAAATTATCCCATATTTATAAAACTGGCCTACATCTTGTATTTATTGCATGCTCTCATCACTTCATATCCATGTATAACTGAAATCCCATTTTTGTTTTAAATTCTACATGTAACAAGGAATTACTGATATTGGGTGTCCTATTTCCTAAAAGTCCAGGCATTATGAAGTGATAGTGAAGAGCAGTATAGTTCAGTATATTTATAATGAAGTTACTGGCATCTCATGATTGCAACATTGTGAGCACATTCACTGCATTTAACATAAGGTATATATATATATATATATATATATATATATATTACATATATATATTACATATAGTACCTAAAATACTACCTGAAAACTACACAAAAATAACCACTCATAAAATTGAGGTAATAATACAAATTTCAATAGAGGTATAAAATCACATAATAAATACATCAGTATAACTGAAATTGATTTTTTCATAAAGATAATTTATTCAGTTTTATTTCACTAAAAAAATCTGTAGGACACTGGCAGCTAAAGTATATTAAAAAAATAGTTCAAAATACTCATACGTTGTTTGCTTTCATCAGAAACGTTTGCTAAGTTCATTGAAGTTGAATATTTTATTAAAATTTATTTGAACAATTACTCATAAAGAATCTTTTTGTATCGTAATGATTAGGAAAGATGTAAATGAAATTTATAGCTTTATTAAAATATAAGTGATAAGCAGACCAGCTGAAAGTAAAAAAAAAAAATTACATACTGTGGTACTAATTTATGTTGTACAAAGATATCAGTGATCCCATTAACATTTTACACAAGAGATTATTGATGGAAGATAATTGTTTTCACAAGACCATTAAACAATACTTAACTTAGTTTATTTAAACAGTAAATGACATTAAAGTCAAAAATGATAATTTTTTTAAATGTGATACAATTAAAAGAAACAGAACTATTTTTCTAAATTAATTTAAAATTATTTTAGCTCATGGTACTGTTTGTTAAACACACCAAAATAGCTTATTTGACAGCATTGTTTCATCAACTTGCTCAAAAAAATGGGTAAAAAAGGGCAAACACCAGTTTGAAGTCCAGAAGCAAAAGACGACTTACACTACACTGGACACATAGTTTTTTGTAACATTAATATGCAATTTAAACATTCTAGCCATTTTAAAATAATCTTGACAAACAATGAGCCATAAAATTCATCTTTATTTTTCAATACTTGCACATGAGTTGAACCTTAGCCTAAAACGCATGAAACCATCTCAATATTAACTTTATTGATACATTTTCAAGAGCATTTGAACAAAATATACAATATTCTACAAGTAAATTACAAAACTTTTAATTATCCAAACATATTACAAGCACATCAATAAGAGCTCACTTAAGGATTGTTAAAAAAATAAAAACTTTAAAGTTACATAAATGATACAAAAATAAATCATGAATGAATGCAAGCATGTATAATGAGGTAGTTCAAGAATTTTTTCTTCTGTTCATTTTCATTCATTGATGTTTGCAAAACACCAAAACTTGCTGCACTTAGCTTCATTCATACCTAGCTGTTTGCAAAACATCGACATTTGTTTGCACTTAGCTTCATTCATATCTTGATGTTTGCAAAACACCAAAATTTGTTTGCACTAAGCTTCATTCATATCTTGATGTTTGCAAAACACCAAACCTTGTTTGCACTAAGCTTCATTCATATCTTGATGTTTGCAAAACACCAAACCTTGTTTGCACTAAGCTTCATTCATATCTTGATGTTTGCAAAACACCAACATTTGTTTGCACTAAGCTTCATTCATATCTTGATGTTTGCAAAACACCACACCTTGTTTGCACTATGCTTCATTCATATCTTGATGTTTGCAAAGCACCAAACCTTGTTTGCACTATGCTTCATTCATATCTTGATGTTGGCAAAGCACCAACACTTGTGCACTAAGCTTCATTTCTTTAATTTCAATTATTTAATACCCAAACGAATCAACCACTCATGGAACCAAAACGAAATAAACAATATTTAATAATATTTTTAAAATCCATATTTAAAATTTTAATGCAATAGCTAATGATTCAGCTATAAAGCAAATTATTTAAAATGGCTCTAAAGTACACTTTTTGACTCCATTTGATCTGACTGACAATTTAAAGGCCAGGACCAGTGGCAACTCACAGACATATCTTAGGCATGGGAAGGAAATGAATTGATGTGTTATGTAAAAACAAATGTTTTTAATAACGGTACCACACAAATTTAGCACAAGATATAAAAGTATATCACTGTAATGAGCCATAGATTTAAAAAGAACTTATCAGGAAGCATCACCGGTCAGGCTTTTCCAATGACATTGTGATGGATTTAGAATATCAATGTCTTTTTAGGCACAATGCTAAAATTCTCATTTAAGTAAATAAAAATTATTGTCCAGACAGTTAAATTTGAAACTTTAATACACCTTGATTAAACGTTCTTTAATTATGAGATTGAAGCAGGTTATTTCATGAGAAAATACCACGTTTATCTTTAATTATAAAAACATCAAATTGGTTTATTTATATATGATTATAGTGTTGATCTCATCTGACAGACAAAAGTGTGACTATTTCCAAGAATACTTATCACCATGAGAAAACCACTTAAACAGTTGATTAGTTTAAACAAGTTCCTAGTTTTATCCCATCAAACAATGCACCTAACTGATGATAAGCCGCCTCACTGGCACAACGCACTCAACTCTTATGATTATACATTTTGTAGACAAGAATGACATTACTTAATCGAAAGCCAGGATTTAAAATGGATTCCTGTAATTTAATTCAAAGTTATTTTTTTATCCCCTTTTCACAATTATACTAATTAATACTATTTTCAGCACACATTATTTCAACCATTGCTTTTCAAAAAAATGTGTAACAATTTAATTTTTTCATGCTAATGCAACCAAAGATTTTAGCATCAGGGTTAAACTGATCTTTAACCAACTATAACCTCAAGATTTTCATATTTAAAAGTTAAATACATTATAGGAACTTATGCACCCAATTAGTTAAGTATTTAGATAAACTTCAAATCTAACATTATTCAATTATTAACCTATGGTCCAAAACGGCCTTCTTTATAAATATTCATAGCCCATTGAATGTTCATTAACTATGCATGAGGGGATAAAATATATTGGATCATTTATTTTATGGAACCTTAACCAGACTCCCTCTCCAACACAAGTGTACTAAACCCATTAGCAATTTCCAGATATTCAATGCAAACTTAAATAAACAGAGCCGCCCCTTTTATTTTAGTTATATTTCAAATATACTTATCTTTCAAACCGACTTACTTCCATGTTGAAATCATGTATTGTTTATATTTCTTTTTGCTCACCAAACCAAGCTTTTTATCCTTTTTTAAAAAAAACCTTTCCTGAGATTATCATTCTTTCAAATATTTTGAGAAACATAAATGGAAAATAAAAAGCTATCTTGCATTTCATTCAAAGAATCTTTTAAAACAATATTAATAAAAACCAGAGTGCTGCTGTGGTTATGAAAAGGCCTCCTACAAATTATTTCTATACAGCAATTATATTTTGTGAAAGTGATCTTTGATCTTGTATCCAAGTAATGTTGACAACATACATTGAATTAATATCTTAAATACTGTCATAAAAATTTGTTTAAAATGCAAATAACATGTTTAAAAAAGTTAAATAAGGGTTCAGAAAAGAAGTTATAATTCATTATGCTTATTCCTAACTCAGATGATCCTTATTTTCCATCATTAAAAGTTTCTACATTCACAAAATAAGGCAGTGCAATATGCCCATGCTTAGCTGATCCACCGGAATCCCATTACCACTTCTTTCCAATGTAAAAAAAAATTGTTATTTTCTTTGGAATTTGCATATAATGCCAGACCGGCTATTAAACGTGAACCAAGCAAACCAATGACATTTGGAAAGAAGCATGATTGAATATTTGGGATATCTTTACATTTCAAAAGCGTGATGAGTCTTTTCTCCTGTTCTGCTCTTACAAAATTAAAACGTGCCCTCTGAGTGTATTTTATTAAAAAGACAAAAGTTGTTATACTTTTATCATAAAGTTTGATTGGAAGAAAGTTCTATCTGATTGTGTCAACAAGTAGGAAAACATTAAGCCCGCATAAGTCAATGCTTTTAGTTGTACAAAGTCAACAATTTGTATCCAACTGTCTTTAAGGAGTAGTAAATTTGTTGGTATCGTTTGACTAATATGTGCCGTTGCTCCCAGCAGAATGAAGTTGTAACGAGGCTTGTTTTGTTCACGTCCTCAATATTTCTTGCAGCTTCTGACATTGGCATAAAATCCCTCTTTATCTTTAGGTGACAGGGTTTGTCCTGGACGAGTCCTTTGTCCTGGACAAGTACAGAAACAGTGAGCTTTGCCGGATTCTCATGGGATGGAAACCGCATGGCTGAATTACGGTGCGATTTGACTCATCTCGTAGAATGTATCCTTTGAAATTCCATCTTGCAATTTTGCCTGCACACAGATAATGGCACATTTGATGACAAGCTTGTTTTCGAGGTGCTCAAAACTACTAATGGTTTAATTTGCTTCATCTAACAAGAGTTAAAATATGGGTGTGTGGGGGCCAATGTGTCCCTAACGCCACCGATGTCTATGACAGCAGTGTTAGGCACATATGATGATGTGTACGTATTGAAAGGCTGGTGAGCCAGTAGAGGTGAAGTTGGTAAGGACTGATCTGTAATAAGTCCTCCGCTACCTGAATTGACAGAGCGGGACAATTGTCCTAGACGCTCGAGAACACATCCGGCAGATAAACGTGCTTCGGCGTCCTGGTCCCAGCATTCTTCAACTGTTGCAATAAGTTTAGAAAGCCCCTGATGATAATTATAGTAATTAAAAATTTTAATTAAATGGAACAGAATGTTATTTTAAAATAATATCAGCAAAAATGGAACTTAGCTTAATGGATATTTAGTATTGATTTAACATGTTATTGTCTCTCATCTTGGCGTAATTCTTAAAAAAAGAATGCAAATTAAAAATCAAACTTCTGATCTTCAGCAACATTGGTAAAGCATCCCTCAATATCTCTGTGCCTATTCAAAAGAATATTTAAACTAATCAGCTAGTTTTGAAAATCTTTTAAGCTTCCTATTATTTAGTCTTGATGTAAAATAGATTTTTGTTATGTTGTATTTGTCATAAATGCAAAAATGAAGTGCTCACAGGATGCTTTTGCCAGCTTAATTTGAGAGCTGGCCTGACTTTCTGAGTAACTACCAATGTTTGCATTTCCTCCAATGTTGGCTGTAAGCCAACTTCCGCCTCAAAGGGCAGTCGATATTCTTCCATTGAGCCTGCAGAAATCAAATATATTTTATTGATTACACCTATAAATTATAGATTGCAAAGATCACCAAATATTACATGTTAATTGTAATTAAGCACTAACAATGGAAAGGGTCGTTTCCTTTTATTAATTGTATGTGCTATACAAAAATGACTGATTTTTTCAGAACTACTTAGAACTAAGTTTCAAAACATAATACAGGATGCTAGAGCTCTTTCATTTAACGTCCCCTGAGAATCACATGTACATTGGAAGGCTATCCCTTAGTGATAAACATTATTTATATATAAAAAAAATAAAAGCTGAGTAAGATACACTGTAAAAGGTAAATCGGTTCTTTCCAAATTGAAAATGAGACACTAAAACTTTCAACAAGAACTTGTGATAGAAAAATGTACTTTCTCCCCAATTTAATTTTAAAATATTTTCATGGAGCACAGGGAAGCAATAATAAAATCGAAAAAAAAACACAAACAGATTTAAAAATTGAATACTTTGGGCTTCAGCTGGTGGCCTATATTAATAAAGTTGAACACAGAAATCATTCCGACAAATATTTTTTTATCCTTTTTAAAATCATTTGCATGTTTATTCATCTAAAAAAAACAAAGTGTATAAATTTCAGATCAGTATGAAAAATCGATATCCCCTTTCCTTAGTTGTATGAAAAATGAAATAATCAGTGTAAAAGATTAATTAGGAGGGAAAAAAGAGGTTACCTTCAATGGATGTGCATCGTGTCATAAGTTCCCAAATTATCAGTCCACAAGCATACATATCAATGCGGAGGAAAGAATCTCTGTTGAAACAAATAGCTCCTTCTAATACCTCAGGGGCCATATAACGTCTAGTGCCCACCTGGGAACAGGAAAATGGGTTCGGGTCGAAAGAACTTAACTAAGAAGTGAATAGAAAGCATTGAAAATAATAAATTTGATGACTTTTGTGTGGTCTACTTGCAATCTGTTGAATGAATATTTACATACTCTCGCTGATGAAAAAAGAACACCGACTGAAACTTTTAAAAATCTGACGCCACATATAATGTGCTATGTTAAGGTGGATTTGCTTCAAGAAATACTATGAAGTACAATTATTTTATTTTTTAAATTTAATTCATAAATTTCTTTAACAATTTTCACACATTCTCGTGCGGAGATACTGATCTTCCATCGAGCGCCTCCACAAGAGGGGAATATGGGAAAGGCCGCCAGATTTTGTGGTATTGAGAAAATGAAGTACCAGGGACAGACCAAAATCAGAACTTACTGCCATGTAGGAAGTGGAGGGATCCACGAAGGCTAAGTAACCTTACACAAAAATTAATGTAGTTACTTAGAGAGCTGTAAGTGGTAGCTTACCAGGAATAGGAATTCAGCAAACTAACAGTAGAGTAGCCTGGTTTGCTAATGAATGCATAGAGACTGTCGAAGAAAGGATCAAGGCACCGAATGACCATGATAAAAAAGGGAAACCAGAAAGACAAATATACAAAGCCAGAAAAATGTGCAGGAAGAAAAAAGGGAATAGGGAAAATCTAAACTAAAAGAAATAGAAGACTTAAAGAATGGATACCTAGCCAGACCTCAAATATGCGAGAGCATTAATGGAGAATGAATTACAGAAAATAGTCAAGCACTGGAGAGGGTGGCTGAATATTTTGAGGGCATACTAAATGCAGACAATAGACAAGATGAAGATTACCCACCACCACATGGAGGACCAGACCCTTTGGTAAACTCAACTTTGGAAGGAACTACAAAAGCCCTAGAAGAATTCTATGAAAACCACAAAGCTCCTGGAGAAGACCTCATCACAGCAGAGCATATTAAATATGGAGGAAGACAACTAAACACATAAACTTATAACTAAAATTTGGCAAGAAGAAGAAATTCTAACAGAATGGATAACAGCACTAATAACCCCAATACATAAGAAAGGTTACAATTCAGTGCACAAACTAGAGGAATTTCCTTATTAATTGTTAAATACATAATATTGCCAAAACTAATTGCCAAAAGAATACAACCGTACACTGAACAAAGACTAGGTGACTACAAATGTGGATTCAGACAAAACAGATCAATGACTGATCATATTTTTACCATATGACTGATCAGATTTTTACCATCAGATGCCTATTAGAGAAATGTTACTAATATAATACCACAGTTCATCAACTCTATGTGGACTATAAAATGGCATCAAAAGAAAATATCTATTAGAGAGGAGTTTGCATACCCGACAAACTGATACATATAACATTAAACAAATCAAAAAGCAAAATCAAGGCTCCTGGTGAATAATCCAGGGAATTTCAGATTAGATGAGGTCTAAGACAAGGAGACTCTTGTATGCTATGCAACCTAACATGGGAGAGGGTTATAACAAGCATATATATTTTGATACCCGGGGAACATGGGCTGCAGCGCCATGGGATGTATGCGACTGGCCCCTTTGAATTGGATTCCACCAAAAAATGGCTTAAAAATGAATAAACCTGCAAAGCTCTCATGTTACCTGAGGATGTGTTTCGTTAAAACCTTTTCCTGGTTCAAATTTCAGAGCAAGTCCGAAGTCAGCGATGCAAGCTGTGAGATCTTGTTTCAGAAGGACATTTTTACTCTTGAAGTCTCTGTGAGCAATTGCAGGCTTTGCTTGCAAATGATTAGGAGATGGAATCTCATCATGAAGATAAGCAAGACCACGGGTCATGGTCTGGCCTATATGACACAGTTGTGCCCATGTGATTGTGTTACTTTTTAAGAAGTCACACAGCGAGCCTGAGGGGAAAAAAGAGCAGTCCTACTTATTTATTATTTCTGGCAAAATGATGAGTTTTAGAAATTTGAATTTTGATTTTATTGGTAATCAATATTAGCTGGCAATATAAAGCAGCATGCTGCTCTTAATAAAATTCTGTGACCCAAAAAATCAGCTTTGGTTATTTTTCTGGGAAATACTATTTGTTTTAAGCACTAATTATTCTATTTTCAATACGTACTGATAGCAAGAATTGAATTGTTTTAGATAATTTTAATTACAGATCAGTGAAATCTGAACATGTTTTATCAGAAATAGGAGTCAGCAACTCCTTCTTTTCAATTTTAATAGTTATATTTGAAAAAAATATATTAATGTTAGTTTTGTAAATAATTACCCTTTATAAATATGTTTAGAAAAAATAAATTATTACATTTGATTCAGCTAAAAAAAACAACAAGCATTAATCATTTTAAAAAAAAAAAAAACTGTAATCAAGAAAAATAAGATGGTTTAAAATCCATAGTTTTACTTATGAAATTAATCATAATTTAACTTTTCAACTTTAAAATCTTTCATAAAGAATTTGATTTAAAATTAAAGAAAAAAAAGTTTGACCTTTTTCATGAAATTCTGTGATTAGCCATAGTTCTGTAGTGAGATTGTCTTCTTTCTTTTCAGAAGCAATAAAACGTAGTATGTTGTCATGTTTCATTTGCGGAAGATTGTAAATGTCCAATTCAGCCATCCATGACTGCTTGTCTTGAAGTGGGAAAATTTTCACTGCCACATATCTAAAGAAAATATAATAATTTTTTTTTAAAACAATAAATTTCTCAATTTGCACAGTTATGATGATTTATTTTAGTCACACTCAGGGTCTGAGTTGATTTTATTTGCAACAAGGTGAAAGTGAGAGGCTTGCTAAAAATAGAAAGTGAATGAAACTACATTTTTAGAGTAATGAACTAAGATTTTTTTAAAGGGTTGGGGATTGAAAATCAAAGTTTTTTTTTTTTTTTTTTAAACTTGCATGTCTTCAGCCAGGATTTTCAAACCTTATAAGTTTATTGCAAACATAAAATTATTGAGCTTACTGTTCTGGAAGTTGAGCTTTCCAAACAGAACCATATCTCCCTCTTGCCTTTAGTTCAAGTAGCTGTAGATTTAGGGAGGACTGAGATGGGGTTGGTGCAAGACTTGGATCTACAGTCGGCAACTGTGTATGGCCCATATGTCGCTGATGCCTCCGCCACATAAAGAATAATGTTATCACTAGGATGACAACACCTATTATAGGTACTATGGAGTAAAGCACAGTTTTTACGAGCTGCTCCACTCCTGATTTTTTCCAATAGTCAGGACCTTGCTCAGTAGTTGCTTTATCAACAAGTGACTTTCCATCAACTTTAGCTGGACGATGAAAGAACTGTTTATTGCAGAGGTCACCATCACAACAGCAGAAATACACTGGAGCACTAAATTTGTCTTCAACACATTCTTTTTGGTGATAGCACCTGAAGAAAAACAAAGAGCAAAATGTTTTTTTTTAAAATCATTTATATTGACTTCACTTTTGTTTGTGTGTCTTTCTGGCTGGCAGGTTGGCGCACTCATTGGGATTTTATAAAGTGCGTTACTTGAATGCATGTTTTGTCAAATTTCAGTCCCACTCCCCATTGCTCAATATTACATTTTATTATTAAGAATATATATGAAAAACTTCGTTTTTAAGGGTTGTTTAATTTCATTAATAATACAAGCCAAAACTTTTTTAGGGATAATTACTGTTTATAATTATAATGTTAAAATTATATTATATTTTATGATGAACATTTTGGAGAGTGAAAATATGTTGACCAAAATGTTAAAAGTATCCACTCACAAGCAGTGACTATGTCAAAATGTATTAATACTATGCCTTAGAACGTGATGAATGGGGTCCTTACAGAGGGATACTACCTCTGATTGTGCATCAGTCGAACCACTTTTCGATCCCCACATGGTGTTCAGCTCTCACCTGTGGCTCCAAGAAGCTGTAGCATGCACAGCAGCCACACCATGGAAAACAGCTTCGACTGGCCGACAAAGCTAGCTTGAGCCGCCGAGCGATTTCCAAATTTTGGTAAAACAGAGCTTGTCGTCCCCCCCGTCCCCCCCCCCCCCCAGCATGTGAAGATTGCATCTGGTGGATTGCATGGAGGAACCACTTGTTGGTCTAAGGGCAGAGAAGTGGAGATAGCAATGTCATGGGAACCACTCAAGGTATGCTAAACTTGAATTGGCCTGATCAGCCACCTGCACACCCACAGACAAACTCAGTCCCAGCACCAATTGGATGTTTAAAATGATTTTTCTTGTATGGATGAACCAACATGTCTGGGAATTTATACTCCCATGAGTTTAAATTATGATGGATTATAATGTAACAGGGGTTACCAGTTTAAATGATCAACAACATTGTCACTAAGTGAGTTCATTGAAGGCTGATTTCAACACTAAAGAAATACTTAAGATGTCTTGTGTTTAAATTGTTATAATTGTAAAAGGTTGTCTTGGTTAAACTATGTAATTATGTGCTGAAAATGAATATGTATAACATAATCAAAAAACCTTTCCATTTATTTGGATCAATGAAAGAATCTTGTTTTATCCTAATCCATTTGGTTGAGCCGAGCCATGAACCTACTTGTCATCATTCATCCAGCATCCTTTCTTTACAAGTTGTGGTTCTTGGGAGTTGTTGACAGTCAGCCATGATGCAAAGCACAGCATGTAATTATGGGGCTCGTCTAGAGTAAGTTTATTGGAAGTAGTCAAATTAGCACATTCCTCTGTAGTAATTGTACACAATTTCGGGTCGTCAGCACATTGATTTTGGTCATATTTTTCGCATCTTACTGTTCCTTGATGTACTTTACCACCTAAAGGAAAATGAAAATTTTATTTTATCAAGAAATTTTGCTAAATATATAATGGGGATGTCCCTGAGGCACTATAGTGGTTCATCTGACTTGAGCTGAGAATGTATGTTGTCAAATCACAGTTACAGACCTGTTTGCTCTCATTCCTAAAATCGTACAATATCGTCTCAAAATCGTACAATACAGTAACAGAATCTTAATAGTAAATACATAAACATACAGTATACATAATGTATACAATAACTGATTATGGCGTCTTGTGGAATCCAGTTAAGCTGGTGTCAAAAAAGGTAACTTCTAAAGGTAGATGATATTACAGTCTGATAACTACCACAAGCTGTAAATGGGTGAAAGAAAAAGGGTGCATTAAAAATCTTACACCTGTTTCATACATTCTAAAAAGATTTGAAAGGCCCTCTCAGATCCTATAAAAATGTAAAAATCTAGTGTTGCTGCGCGGAACAGTTAAGAAACGCATTTTCTAGTTTTCTGTTTCTGAACTCATTGTGGTATAACTGTAAGAAATAATTGTCACAAAATTACGTCATACAGCACCGGGGCAAACAAACGTAAGGATGGACAATCTACGTATTGTGGTAATACGTACGCACAAAAAAGTCAAATTTTCAACCCCCTATTGCCAGAGTACAATTTTTTATGCCCCCCCCTTCTATATGGGTTGCTGCTGCTTGCTCACAGGGGCATTGCGAAATATTACACAATTTTCATAATTGTATTTCCACTTTTAATCCAATGTGACATCTAGCAGTCGTGGTGTAAACAGTAACCAAATAAGTAACAAATGTTTGCAGTTACTAGATGGCGCTTTGTGACCTACATACATGTTTCATTTATTTTACCCAGCCATAATATTTCATTTATGTATTCGCCATTTCGAAGTGTTCTAGTAAGAATTTAACACAGCGAGCCTGGTGAAAACCTGAATTCGGCATAGGTGCCGGGAAATGAAAATTTTTGAATCACGGGCATAGCCCAACAAAATATATGTCCCATACACGTTGAACATGCTGTGGATTAAATATTACTGTAAAATCTCTACTACTTAGCACTATCTGTATATATCTAGCAAGTCATTTTTGAAAACACAAGGCAACATTTTTACAATAATTCCTACAAAACATTGTGATATTTTTACAGCAGTCAAGATGTAAGTATACTATCATTTTATTTTCAGGATGATTTTGTACAATTTTTGAATGATTTTCGTACTTTCTACTGCCACCCCCCCCCCATAACCAACTCCAAGGACGTGTAGGAAAATGTTTAAAATTGATTAAATACCCCCCCCCCCCAAAACCATGCATGGCACAGATACTATAAGGATGACCCTCAATTAACTAAAATTGTCACAAGGGCGACTACGCTAATATTACTGTTGACATGTCTACCCAGTTCATTATGAAAACATAAAGCAACAATAAGACCATCACCATTCTCATTAAAAAGATTGGTGGTGTTATTTTTGTAGACTTTTAAAATATTTAGACCCCACCCTTTAGACCGCCCCCTTCGCACACATACACAAAATCTCCTAAATCAACACCACTCCATTCCCCTTTCAGGGCAAACGTAATATAAATATAGATGGTCCACAACCAATCATATTTATTGTTCCACTCACTGATAGATGTAGAATTCAAGTTAAAACTAACAATACAACCAAAAATGTACTTTTTACTTAATGATTATTATTTTTGTTTTAATCGTGAGAGGAATGTGTATATTTTCAAGCCAGTCTCTTAAAATCGTAGTTCTGACGGGACTTGGCGTACAATAGTAAAAGACATCTGAAAATAGTACATTGTACGCTAAAAATGTCAAAGCAAACAGGTGTGCTGTTATGCTTATGCCATGGAAAAAGCTTCAGAAACTATGAAAAGGAAAGCTCCTAAAGAATGGAGTATTCAGTTAGACAAGACTGCTTTTCACAGGGAGGCGGAAACCCAACTATGCCTACCCCCAGGTATCAAAAACCTGTAAATACACTTCATAAACCCATGTAGTAATGTAAAAAAAAAGAACCTAGTACACAAAAAATAATAAGCCAAAATAGTTTGTCACTATTTTTAATGACTATTTTCAATGAGATTCACTTTTTTTGCATACAAGTTTATAGCAATATTTGCTAACAAGTGTCTCTGTTGCTAACAAGTGTCTCCATTAATTTCATAATTTCATACAAATGTGAAACGGATACCATTGTGTATGCATCTGGTATCAGTTTTTATTTTTATAGCTAACAGATATGAAAGCCTAGAGATAACAAATGAATGTAATGCAGTCAGTTGGGTGTGATGTTAACTTTTATGTCTTCATAACTTCATAATAAATTAAAGGAATTCTGTGATTCAGTCTGTTAGGAACTTCCTTTTCCAAATGTTAGTCTAATTAATCTCCAAACCTGACTTAAATAGCTTGCAGTAGGATGGAATAACAGCACAAAAAAATAAGAAGGAAATACAGTGGTATAAAATCCACACAGATGTGGTTGACCCTATACTGAGGAGTGCACCCATAAGCAAACTGGCATAATGACTGATCAGCCACCAATTATTTACTCTGTATGAGGATTGAAGTAAATTGAAAGTAATATATTATATTATTGTATAATTAGTTACAACTATGGTACTATTTAAGGAGTAGAAGTTAACAATTCTTGTTACTGCTGGCTTTTATTTCTTCACCCACAGGATTGTAATAGTAATACTAATTAAAATACTAGATGACATTACTTTTCTTTTATTTGTGTACAGTGTATATTATTTTTGTACATTGTTTGATGGAGTTGTGAATAGGATTTCAAAAATAATTTAGGAAACTCTTGAGTAAAAAAATCTCTACCACTACAGACAGAAAAACTACAAGCATAGGAGCCAGAATGATTAATATATAGATCATGGTCCCTCAAAATATAGAAGGAGAAGAACTGGCAGCTGAATGTAAAATAAAATGGGACAATATGGCAACACTTCAACTTTGTCATTGGTTATGTAACTCTAAATGACAACAAATTTGTAAAAATAGCTTGATTCCCTCTGACCAGAGCTCTTAAAATAGTAACAGCCCAAATAATGCTAGAGTTTTTTTTAAAGTATGTTTTTATAATGATTATTAACAGACAACTGGTATTTTAATATTTACTTTACGAGACAAGAATGCTAGAAATATTAGGATGTATGAGATTACTAAATACAACATGTTGATTTCAAGGACAATATTAAATAAAACAATAAAATATCAGATAACTATACAGAAGACTGAATTGTACATAGAAAAAAATAGGTATAATAAGTTATATACTTACAGCATAGTGGTATGGCTACAAGGGCAACAAATAAAAACATTCTGATCCCATTAAAATTTGATGAGACCATCATTTTGACAACATGTGCTGTCTTGCAAATACAAATGATTCAAATAGTCACAATTTAGCTAATGATACTGGGTCCGTCATTTCTGAAAAAAAAAAAAAGTATGACAACACTGAAAGAAAATTAAAAGATATAGTTTTTACATTATAATTATTGCCTAGAGAGTTGAATTCAACATTAGGCCTAAATCACAGTAGACGCATTAGATCAGGTTTATTTAGTCTTGCCTCTTGGCCAATTATGCTCTGCCAGGTCATTTCAACTGTGTTGCCCATGATTTCCACATTGTACACAAAAAATGTTTAAAATCATGAGAGACTTATGAAAGAGTAAGGCTAAGACAAAAATAGACTTTTCAATAAACTAAGAACAGACCTACTACCCCATGAAATTTTATTCATCATTGGAGTACCGGTATCGTCTGTTTAAAAGTTTCTTAGAAGAGTAATGTACAGAACATGGTGATTAGCTTTTGCACAATGCTGTAAGATGGCTAGGGAAAGGAAGAGTTTATATAGGGCTTGTCATTTAATGGTGGAAATCTATTAATAGAACTGATGTCCTCATCACTCATCATCCGGGTACTCAGCGCAGACAAAATGTCAACACTGTTCAGTATTACTATGTTAGCGAAGTGTTCCTGAAACTTGTTTACAGCTCTATTTTACGAAATATTTTACAAATTTTTTTTTTACTTCTATTTTCTGAAATGGGACTTCATTGCGCGAACGGCATATGTAACAGTAACTCTTAGATACAAGGATCATCCGAACGATATGCTGAAACACACTATAAGCTGCCATGTTTTAAGCAATATTTGCCCGCCAACCTTCTAAAAATAGTACGCTATGACGTTTTCCGGTCTGAGAAATGACAAAGCCTATCGGCTTTGGATATTTAGTGAGAATGTGATTAAGTTTCTCAAAATTGTGAAGTCAAAGAAGCTTGGGCCATTTTTACAAATTAATTTTCCACAAATATGGACAAAATGGTATCTGTTTCCGTGGCTTTCTTAATGAGCTTATTTAATATTTCACTATAGGGTAAAAAAAAAACACTCATAGAAATTAAACAGAAATGCTTTAGGGAGAAACTTTTACTATCAGTGATTTGGAATCAAGTCAGCTGTTTCATTTTCATACAGTCCATAATTAGGCCATAGTAGCATATAAAGTAGGGTGACCAAACGTCCCGTAAAAACAGGATTGTCCTGTTTTTTCAGGATCGTACCTGTTGTCCCGAAAAAGTCTCTCGGGACGCCTAAATGTCCCGTTTTTTTTAACCAAACACATTTTCTAATCACTAAAACTTCCTAATTTATAATATAACTTCGAATAATATTTTGGCTAGCTGTGTAGCCAGTGCCAGTAGTGATGTGGGCTCGCGTAATGGCTGAACCGTTCCCTTTCCACCACAGCGTCCCTGCCATAGATCTTATATGTAAATGTATAGCGAAAGACACGAGACTTGAAGCGGCAGGGGGTGGGGGGAGGATGTAAATGTGCAGAAAACAATTTTGATTCCACGACCGCTACGTGTAATGTGTTAGTCATATATGTGATCCCTACCGGCCTGATCGTGTCAGAGTGACAGGTGTTTTTTTTGGGTGTTGAACTTTATTCTTTAATTTTACGAAGTGTCTACACGTCTGGCGCGTCGTAGAAATATTGCGGGAGATATACATCCGGCGATCATGTCATAAGACCGCCGGACGACTGGAAGGCGTTATTATTCCGGCAGGTCATATGACAAGTGGTCGCAGGCAAAATAGTTGCATGGCATTGATATTCCGATCCCTAGATAATATATAAATGCTGAACATGTTAATATATTCAAATGCTCTGATATACATAAAGTGTTTGACTTTGAATATTAAACTAGTCGGCCTATATACTAACTAGTAGTTCTATTACTACTACTATTAATAGTCTATTTGATTCCGAATCTTCAAAGAAAAAAGTCCCTTATCTTGGTTAAACATCTTGTAAAGCTCTACCTTGAAGTCTAAATTTAAAATATGAACAAAATAAAATAAGACAAGTAGACTTCAATAGACCTATGTCAATAAAGTTGTATTTCAGGATTAGTATTGCATGAGAAGTAGGCTAGGCTACCACTATATTGGCCCCTTATTAAGATGTAGGGTCTATTTCTTTGTGAACTATCGGCCTCCCTGCCTTAAACTTTATTATTTATCACACTCAATATTATTTTTTAGCATTCATATTTTTTATTACCGTAATTCTCTCTCCCTCTCAGCATTGCTTCCTTCTAGAATGCATTATTGCTTAACCCCCACCTGGTTTTGGTAGTATACCCAAGTATTTTTTTCTATTTGTTTGCAAGATACTCAGTAAATTACTTGGTAGAGAAATAGATTTTAAAATTAACAATAGTTTTGAATCATTCGCGGTCACGTGAGAAGGCTGACGTGACAACTATCTGGCATCACTTTGTTACGCCGTTCATGTGACTTGGTTGCCGGACGAATATCTGGATAAAGTATTCTTCCGACTGTCATGTGACTTGGTCGCCCGATAAATAGACGTGTAGACACTGCCTTAATTTTATATTATCTTCTCATGTAAATGTTAATTATGCCCAAGCGTTAATGTAAGTTTATGGATAAGTATTCCAAAGAGTGGAACTATATTAACTCATTCCCGACAGTTGCGACTAAATGCGACCTTTGGGGGTTTCGACGGATGCGTCCAAATGCGTCCCGACGCATTATTTTTAGTTAAAAATAGCAATGAATTCTCGCGCTCCTCGCTATGGCGTGATTTCTGCCGATTTTAATTTAAAAACCAGAAGTTTTTATCTTGTTTCACTTTAATGCTACGCGTGCTTTGGTACGACACGTCTATATGTAGAATGTGTCTGTCCGAGGTTTCAAAAATCGATTTTTTGGCTATTGTTCATATTTTTTCGCCGCTAATGTTATATTTTTAATAAACCTTATTCATTTTTTGATGCATTCGTTCTAAATTCATTAACATTTATTATTATTAAGTAGCTTAAAAAAATATTTTTTTAAAAATGTAAATCAATTTCAAAACTGAGTTGCTTCCCTTTTCTCAGGAAAATAAATGAAATACCGGTGCGGAAGTAGCACTGCCGGAGGGAATGAGTTAAAAAGGGATGTTATGAAAGTTAAGCTGAGTGCACAGTTTGCAATGTTTTTAGTATTGGTCATGGTGGATGTTCAGACATAAAACAACACATCACATCAGTGAAACATAGGACATATGAAAAGACTGAGTGCCTCAAGTAGATTTCTAGATTTTATAGTTAAAATGAGCATATTTCAATAAACAGTTCACGGCCGAGGCCCCCCAGACCTCCATAGTGGAGGGTATTTCCCCCACCCCCACCAAAAAAAAAAATAACAACAAAACAACCGTCCTTGCAAGCGTCCCATTTTTTCCAAATCATGATTTGGTCACCCTAATATAAAGTCAATAAGGGATCCTCCGGAAAGTGGGTTGGGCCTCTAGTCTTGTCCATTGGAAAAAAAACATGGCATGTCTTCTTTGCATTTACAAAACTAAAATCCATCCCTGTGGCGCTACAGCCCATGTAGGGCTTTGGCCTGCCTCACCACTTCCTTCCACTCAGACCTAACTAATGCCTTTCTTTTCCATGCTTGGACTTTCAACTGCTGTAGATCATTTTCCACATCATCTATCCACCTAAGCCAAGGTCTGCCTTTGAGCCTTTCTCCTCTGGTGTATTGGTGATGCACCCTCTTTGTTCCTCTGTCATTTGGCATTCTCTCTAGATGTCCTGCCCAGCGAAGCCTGCCTCTTTTTATTTCTGCTACTATCGTGGGATCCTGATATACTGTATAATTCATGGTTGGTTTGATTCTCCATCCATATTCATCCTTTGTTGACCCATATATTTTCCTGAGAACTTTCCTCTCCCATGTGTTTAATAGGTTTAAACGTGCGGAGATACTGATCTTCCATCGAGCACCTCCCCAGGTGGCAGATAGGGGAAAGCCCACCAGATATGGAGGGTACCAGGGAAATAATATACCTGGGGCGGACCAAAATCAGAACCTACTGCCTTGTAGGAAGTGGAGGGATCGATAAAGTCTAGGGAACCTTACCCAAAAACTAAGGCAGCTATCCAGAGAGCTGTAAGACTAAGGGGCAACCCCCAAGACGGTTGTGCGCAGGGTTAACAGGCCAGCCATGTAAAAAAAAAATCAATGTTACAAAAGCCAATCAACAAAACTAAAAGCTTGATTCAAAAATGGAAAAAGGCCTCCAAAAACAATATAAATATTAAATATAGGCATAGGTTATTTGCTAATTTAGGCGAAAGACTGCTTTAAAACTATCTAATGTTTTAATTTTAATAGCACTGGTATCAGTTTCTCTTTCGTTGCGACATCCATTTGCTTTAACGCTGCTTATTTTTTTTTTTTTTTGCTTCATTCAGAAATCATGTCTAGGCCCCTACTAATGAGTAAATTTCAATTTCAATGAATGTTTTTGATTAGAACTCTTCTTACTTGTCATCCTTGAATAATGTTTAAGGAGCGAACACAAATGTCTAAATGGATTAAATGTCAACAGTTAACTAAATGCTATTCATATGCAACCGATCCATACTGACAGACTGCAGAGGTGAACACCGAAAATGTAGTTTCTTCATATGCTATATTATAGGAATACAAAATAGAATGCTTTTTCTCAAACACAACTATTGGATCTCGGACAATATGGCCGTATTATTTTACATGAGCCCCGGATGTTGTTTTCCGAGATAAAGATGTCTTTCTGTATTTGATTGGTGAAAGAATATTTAGTTATTGCGGGTAACTTCGTTAGAAAATAAAAAGGGGCCACCTAAATTAATTAAACATGTTTTAATATCATTTTTTCCGATTTCAAAGTTTACGAAGGAGCATGAGTTTTACACAAAAAGTAAACAATTAAAAATAACCAATCACAATCTGGATTGTTCAAATACAGTTCAGTTCAGTGACTTTATTTATGGCTGTTCTACCCGCTGACCGACAGGATTTTTTAGCCGTTAGAGAGACATTCTGGCAAACTATATAATGATGTGTTGCATCAATTTCGATAAAAACTCAATTTTCATTATTTTTATTGCAACATTGACAATTTTTCTTCACATTAACATTCAATAACATGACGTTATAAACATTTAAGCAACCAGAAATTAAATTCAAGAAAATACTATCACGCCTTTTGCTGCTGCGCAGCCATGGGCTATGGCCAAAAATAGATTCAAGGACTAAATTCTGCAATTCCATTGGACGCTTAAATACATCATTTTCTAAAAATAGTAAAAAGTATTGCACCATAAACCAGCTACGTCGACCAGCAGTCAACATTATAGGAGAGTAGGGTTAACATCACGAGAAAGGTAAATATTAATTTAGGATCTGTTTTATTTAAATTTGCTACTTAATATTCTTGTTTACGTAATAACCTTTTATGTTATAACAAATAATTAGTATAAATGATTTATTAATGTATCTAGTAAGTAGTATACTTTTTTCTTCTTAATTTACGAAGGAACGGAAGGGTAGTACGAACGCCAGCGAGTGCCGTGGCTACATTTAGTTTCACAAAGCAACAGTCAAGCGATATCCTGGATTATACTATTAAAGAACAGCAAGGATCAGTGTTTTCAAACACATATAATCTTAAGGCCACGGCTACAGCAGAGGCATCTACTGGGATTTATAAAAGACCCACAAACATGGAGGACGAGCTGAGCTTTTACGGTAGTGGATCATCAATGATCCCACAATCCTTAGATGAGCTAGTTGATTTGCTGGATATCAAGGTGGGCTCTGCTGGAACGGCAGGCTCCCATGATATCCAGCACTTCCGTACGTTCGCCTCAGAAGACGAGTGGCCTATTTGACACAGGTTAGCACTTTTTTTTGGTACCTAAATTAACTTTAATAGGTTGATTATTCCTACCGCGCTTTTACTATGTTTTTTGTTTGTTGATATCCAATGGGCGTGTTCCCTGACACAGTTGTCGTGACACGTGACATATTTGGATCAATCGGAAATACTTTATTTTTAGAAAATTACGACGGGATGTTATATTTAGAAGCTTAACAGCTGAAGTTTTTCTAGTGTTGGGATTTCACCATTACTTGAAATGGTTAACCAACTCCATTTATCTTCATATTAAAATAGCCCGGTGGGATCGCCGGTTATGATAGTCAAATAACAAATGTGGAGCAGATTTTATGATTATAAATTTCATGTATAAAAGCCTTAGTACGGGTATACATTATACAGCATATTATATTATATAAATTTAATAATATTTTGATTATGATTATACTTGACTTGTACTTACAAGTTAATAAAATAGTTAGGCCTATCTTATACTAGCCTTTAATCTAGGTATAGTATAGTGTATAGTATAGTAATAGTCTTTAATAGTATATAGTTACTTATTTAACTTTCATTTACTTTTTAAGTTCACCAAAAAAAAAAGTTTAAAACTCATTTACAATGTGTCTTTTCCAACATGTTAATCATTAGGCCTTAAAATATTTAGGCATAAGATACTTATGTTAACTTATAATAATATTATTATTGTAACTGTAAAGAATTGGTCTAATAAATTTAATTGAAAAGGACTGCTGCCTCTGTCTCTATACCTATTATTATTAGTATTGTATGATATTATTATATGGATATGATAAAAAGGTGATAAACATAAACTTGGGCTTTGGTTTTTGAGATATTTATTACAAATTCATAATAATTGATGATACTTTTCATACTAACTAACTACAGACCAGTTATTACTGTTGACTTGGCAATATCCTGACAGTGTACCAAAGTAACAGTAATTTAATATCTAAAGCAATGCTTTAATGCCACTACTTGTGCTTAAGTTTAAGCCTTCATGCTTGAGTGTCCAACATTCAGTGCAAATTTTCTTTTATAGTTGTTTGAGACTTAAGTTTTTATTTGGTCATAATTGAAAATATAAAACCTTAAGCCCACTGGTCAACCTATTATTAATAGTACGGTACCAGTATTAATTTAAATGTTTTATCTTTTGTACACAGGCTTTGCTGGTGATGCACTTGATGTCACCAGCCTGGATATAAATGCTCCTTCTGACATCGACAATCCATTTTCTCCTAAAGATCGGTTTCAACCTGCTAATATCTTTTATAGCATTGATGACAGTGATGCCTTGTCATCATCTAAAATGGACTTTTCTTCCTCCGACCTGATGGAAACCTGGGACTTTTTGGACCCTCTTGCAGACCTTGAGACCGATCAACTGGCAGATGACAGTCTGGATGCATTTGTCAACTTGGATAAATATCTTGATGGGGTAAGTCCAACACACAGGCTTGTTCAAAATGTAATTGAAGTGAATATTCATTATCTTTTATAGTGTGGTTGATCTAGATGAAACTTTCCTTTATTGAAATAGTGTCTTGTATATTTGGTGATATGTAAACAACAAAAATAATATTAAACTTAAGAGACTAAGAAAATATAATATAAACATTCTTCTTTTTTTTTATTATTCCATGTTACTATTTTTAGTACCGGTACATTTGTAACTTAAATGCTTTATATTAATTTTAACTTTATATACAATTTTAATGTAATGCATTCTTTTTTTTTTTAAGGAGCAATTCTTAGATGAAACTGTTCAGCCTTTGATTGATATCCCTGTAACTGGGATGAAACTCTTAGAAGACCTTGAATTGGCACCCAACTCTTCTAAAATTACATTGGAAGCTTCAGAGGTACCTGCTGTCGCACTTCCTAAAAGCAGAAAGCGTAAATTAACAAAACCGTCTACTATTAATACAGTGACTAGCTTGTTTGAAATTCAGGTTTCACCATCCGTTGTCATGACTACCACCTCAGACCATGATTATACAACCAAATGTAAAAAGATCTCATTGGAAAGTAAGCCCACAAGCCAACCATGTGATGATAACAGTGCACTGAAGTTAACAGACACGATTGAGTACACAATGGATGCTAATGTGGTGGGTGATAAACAAGCTGTGCGCAGGATGAAGAATAATGTAGCATCTAAAAGGGCAAGAGAACAAAGAAAGCAGAAATTTGCTGATATGGACCAGGAAGCTGAACAGTTGATAGCTGCTAATGAAGTTTTGAGGCAGAAAATTGTAGAACTTGAAAAAATGGCACAAGAAATGAAAGCTCAGTTGGTTGCCAAAATGTCAGGAAAGTGAACATTTTGGCATTAGGAAATTTAATGAATTCTGTTCAGCAATGCACATTGATCAATTCTCTACCACAGTTACCATACCTAACGCTAATGACATTTGGCATATTGACAGTTGGAAATATATATATGAGGTCCAAAATAAAATCAAAGTGTGCATTTGTGATAAAGAACTTATTTTCCCCTTAAAAGCATCATTTATTTTGATTACATTCTTATGGTGAGATATGGCAGTTTATGTTGTGTTATAACATTGATTTTGAAAGAAAGACTCATTTGTTTGCTCCATGTGTTATAAGCTGTATAATATTGTAAAAACAAAATCATTTTGTAACAAATATTTTAGTAATGTCTGTTTTATGTACCAGTACTTACAAACACTCGCATTCAGATTATATGGTATAATTTTGTTACTTAGACCATATGGCATCTACCTTACTAACAATATTTGTTCAGGGGTTATTCATCGACGTAGGAAAGTGTTTGCTATCACAGACAAATTCACTTTCTTAGTGATCTGTGTCATAATCAATCATATATTCACTTTACATTTAATTATTTTACATTTGAATTAACCACCATTTTTTTGTTCTGGTTCCAACTTGCTAAATTAGATTGCATGCTTGTATGACTTTGATCATTTGAATAGTGTTGCCATACTCACAAGAAGAATGGAATTTCAACAAGTCTTGGGGAAGGGAAGGGGCTGTCATTTTTACAAACAAAAACTACAGTTACTGTACTAAAATGATTCCATCACTTAGATGGAATTTGTCAATTTTCTAGGGAAAGAACATTAGTTCTGCTTTATGAAATGAACAGAAGAATAGGGAATAGTATTTTTTGCCTTTTTTCTGAATTCACAATACTTTTTTTTATACTTGTGGTTTGTTTCACATCTGTTTTAGGTCACTATTTTTTATTTAGGGAAACTATATCATTAAGATAATATTTATAATTTATACACTAAATCAGGCTGTGACCTATTTTTTCATTCAGAAATGAACTATAAGTAATGAAAACACACAATTACAAAAAATGTTCATTAAAGGTGAAAGAAACATGCCCTTGTTTGTTTTTAACTATCATGCCCTTGTTTGTTTTTTCAATGAGTTTGAAAAATCAGTATGTTTGCTTGAGACACCTTTAATTAAGAGTATTAGTATTATAAAAATTCAAAGAAACTAATGACTTTATGTTAGAGTTTAAGTTAAAAGTGCTGCTGAGTTTCTATAGAAAACTGAGAGTTTGCCATAATTCTTACGTGGCCTCTGGATATGTAGATTGATAAAGAGAAAAAGTTTAAGCCTAATATTTTAAATTATTAGATCAGATCCATTGATCATTGATGGCATTATTTCTAGCACTAACTCTAACCCAAAACAACTTAAATGTAATGATGATTTTTTTTTTAAATAAACAGTAGCTGTAACTGTAACAGGATGAAAAGTTTACCACTTTCATCTATCTGCTTTTATCTAAGGGAAATGAAGAAATACTGGTATGTCTCATTGACTTAGTGTTAAATTACAGTACTAAAATTAAATGATTAGTGATTGAAAGTTTAAATAAAACAGGATCAAACAACCAAGCTGTAAGTAAATTTATTGTGGGAAGGGTTATGTTTTCCAAAGGCACATAAAACTTGGAGCCATGAATTTGTTTTGGGAAGGGGGGGGGTGGGTTTGGATGGTAATGTAAATGATAAAATACAGAAATCTGGTAATGACTTAATTGTTTTATTAAAATTTCCATTACATTTTTTAATTAAATTTCCATTAAATTTTGTACATTAAGTCAAAAAAAGTTAACAAAATAAATTAGCTTTGAGCCCAAAATACACTTTTTTCACTAGTTAGTTATTTTAATTTGAAATACATCATTCACATATAGTAAGGTACCGTAGTATAATCTATATGGGTCATCATTAAAAAAAATTTCAACGTGCTTGTTGGTGGCTATCCATTTCATTTTATTCATCTTCAAATTATTTATGAAACTTCCAAATTTTAATCTATAATTTGTTAGAGCTTTTTAAATCTTGGTACAATGTTAATAAATATAGGGCAGCAACTGAAACACTAATGAAGGGGAGAGAGTAAATGCTGTGAATCTTTATAACTTTTTCTAGTGATGTCAAACTTTTAGTTAATTTATTTAGATGTCATAAAAAACAATGTTGCAGGAAAAATATAATAACTTTTTATAGGAGATTAAATATCTTTAACAATTTGTATACATAAAATCTATTTTAAAAATTACATTGACAATACAAAACGTGTTTTTGCATAGCTTATATGGCAATAGTAGTATGGCATTCAAAATTATCATGAATGAATAAATGACATCTTTTTCTTTAACTTAAAGAAAAATATTATTCTAAATAATAAAGACATCAAATTAGAAAAATAATTTCGTAAGTTTGCTGCCTATATGACAAAGGCAAAGAGTTTATGAATTGAGTCATCAAGCTAGTTACAGTCATCAAGTATCATCAAGCTAGTTACATCATCAAGCTTTATAACTTATGAACCTCCCCTGTGGCAAGAATGTGAGTCTAAAATTCTTTAACAAGACCAGTGCTAGGTCTAAGATTCTTTGACAAGACCGGTGCTAGGTCTAAAATTCTTTGACAAGGCCAGTGCTAGCTTATAAGATTCTTTGACAAGACTGGTGCTAGGTCTAAAATTCTTTGACAAGACCAGTGCTAGGTTATAAGATTCTTTGACAAGACTGGTGCTAGGTCTAAGGTTCTTTGACAAGACCGTTGCTAGGTTATAAGATTCTTTGACATGATGGGTGCTAAGTCTAAGATTCTTTAACTAGATCGGTGCTAGGTCTAAGATTATTTGACAAGACCGGTGCTAAGACTAAATATTTAAACCAAGAAAACCCATTGGGCTAATGTGAAGAGATAGCACCTTGACGTCATTTGCGTGTTTTGTCCCTGCTTCCGATAGGGTTAAAACCCTAGTTAGGAATAAGTTTAGGGTTCATGCTAGGTTTAGGGATAGATTTAGGACATAAGTTCGCGGCAACCATGATGGCGGCCATGGTAAAAAAAAAATTTCCTTTTTGAAGTGTGATAATAAAAAAACCAGCTGATATTAAGATGAATCTTCTTTGTACACTAAATATGAAGATAACTACAAAATTCTCATGTTAGCCTTATCAAATAACGACAAGAAAACAGTCTTGAGTCTGTTGCACTTAGATCTAAGAGCAATCTCTGCTGTTTATCACAATGATGTTTTAAATACAATCCTCTTTTATCACTATTTGACTAAAGTCAAAGTACTGAATAAATAGATATTCATTTTTCACACGGAGAACTTGACTAGCTGTCCATGTAACAGTGACCGCTGTCATCAGCATCTCTACGTCGTTGTACAAGAGTGAGACATGGTGGGATTATTCCCATGATTTAACATTAATATAAAATTTATAGGTAAAATAACCAACCACATTTTCTTAGTATTTTTAAATTGACAACAAAAACTTGGATGCATTATTAATAATGGCTACTGTTTACTTTAAAAAAAATATCAAAATTTGTTTTTTAAGTTTTGCATAAATTAGAATTAGGATCAAAATATATACAATTGCTGCTCTTTTTCAATGTATATGCAAGCTCTGTTGAAAACTGCTCCACAGCTGTAGTATAATTTATAATTGAAATATTGCACTCCGTCATACATGCAATGGGAGAAGTTTTAATGTCAGGACTGTTTTTTGTACTCAAGGAGGTAGTGAATCTTCTTGGAAGTCATCCTGAAAACAAATCCATCATGTGAGGAGAGTTACAATTAATTTTTGTATGGTAATTAAATCGTGGAGCTCTTATTTGTTTTATCTTATCTGCCATAAAACCAAACATTTTGTAAAACCCTCTTTGCTAATCAAGTTATATTGTAGCATTTTTTAAACCCTCATTGCTAATCAAGTTTTACAGAAATAAAAAATAAAGTAATGATGGATTACTTCTGACTCAGGCTATTTATAGAAATGGATACCCAGATGACATAGAAGTAAATATATCTTCTAGTATTTCCTAATTTATAAATACAAATTCCTCTTTCCCATTAAATTATATTCTCAACTAAGTGTGTATTATTGTCACAAAGCTAAGTTGAGTTAAGGGAGTTAAGTGAGATGAGAATTAGGACTTATAATTTATAGAGTATGGAACTTGGGACGAGGAACCAATCAGAGAAGAGGAGTACAATGGAAGATGGAATCATTGCGGTAAGTGGTTATTGTCTAGCATCAAAATGCTATCCTTTACAAAGGCAAATTCTCAAAAATAATGTTTGTGAGTAGATACCAAGAGTATGTGATGCAGCAAATGAGTTTTATGTGTACCATGAATAGAGAGTATGAGTTCTGTGTGTACTTACCTAGAGTATGTGTTGTCAAAAATGAGTGTGTAAATTCCAGCTTTTTTAGCTGTTAGCTCGCCCTTCACAGTCCGTATATGAGAATCACATTTACAAGGGGCCACAATTTCCTCTGCTTCCGTCACACTGATTTGGTCATTGGCTCTGTAGTTTACACTGAATACAATGTCCTGTGGTAGAAAGAAACTGACATATTTATTGACAATGCCCTGTGATACAAAGAAAATCTACGTAAAATCTACTCACAATGCCCTGTGGTAGAAAGAAATTGACATAGAAATAGCAAAAACATTTTCTCTCTCTCATCAACGAAATAACTAGTTCCCTTACATTTTTTTGCTCAAAAAGGAATTTTGTCTTTCACAAATTGTGTAGACAAAGGCCCTGAATTTTGTTTCATGGCTTCTTTCAGACCACACGTGATCTCTGCAATTTTAAAAGCAGCTGGATGAATTAATTCCTCGACAATAGTAAATGGTTTCTTTTCTTGGGCAACCAGCCAGGCCAATGCAAAGCTAACCTTTGATGCTGAATGTTGATCGAATGTTCCTCTTGCCCAAGTCAAACCTTTGGACAGAAATTTCCAAATTTTCAAAATATCCCCTTGGTTTGAAGGACTGATGTGAGTGAAAATTATCCAAGTATTTCTTCAATCAACTCTTTCTGAAAGATTCTACAGTCAGCACTTTCAAAGAGACAACATACTGAGGTTTGAATATTACCTAGTCTTCTATTTGTGTGAAACCCATAATTGAGGAACTCTTCCTGGTATATTCATGTCCTATTTGTCTTATGAAAGATAACAGAGACAGTGATTGAAATACAGTGCCATCCGTACATCACAGGCCTATTTGACAAAATGAAACTGCTGCCTATGTACCAACATTATTGTTAATTGGTTTCATTAAAAGATTCATTTCGCTTTCTTATCAAATAATTAATTAATGTATTTATTATTTGCTCATAATAACAAAAAAACTATCTTACCTTGATCCTCGAAGTCTCAAAGTGAGATAAAACAATAGGCGACTAGGTAAACAAGAAGTTTATACAACAAGATGTGTAGCTATGCCTGTTACAGAGCGTCAACATTTTGGGTGTTTTCTCTATCACACTGGCCAGATGCAGGGTGGCCAGAAAAATAAATTCTGATGTAACATTGAACACACCATTTATATAATTTTATTTATATCTACTGAGCCCTCCGTTACCCCCAAACATTTTCATTTTTACCCCAATTGGGGTAGCTACCCCAGTTCACCAATCACTGCACTTATTTCTCTGGATAACTTAAGCCGCTGTCTTCCAACTTCAGTGGATTTTTTTTACAACTGGTTTAGCTACTCCCAAATAATATCCATTCTCCCATTCTCTACAGCCATAGCTGGGGACAAGCATGGACAAAGTCCAACTCTGAACCTCTTTGTTGTGCGCTATCATTTCACAGACTGTAAAATCTCAAAATGTCAGTTATGTGATTGGATGACAAACCTTAGGTTGTGAGGTAAACTCCCAATGCAGCACTGTCTTCTCTGTCTCGATGTCTATTGGAATAGCAAACGTTTTTCCAGGCTTGATCCACACCTCATTCTGCTTGTTTACCTCCCCTGATTCCAGCTCATCCGCCAACAGCATGATGCTACTGGTCATGCTTTGAAAGGACAGTGGTAAATTAGATGGATAAATGTGATCAGTGACATTGTAACAATATTTACTAGGAGTGACGTTTTCAGTGTATAAACTAATAACTTCCATTTTACTTGAACTAGAACTGTTCTTGTTTTTCTGTACGAAAAAAGCATCTAAATGACTTAGATTCTCAACAACATATTATGTTAGTTTATTCATAATTATATAGAAGACATTGTCAAAATAAGGCTGGCTACAAAAATGTCAAAATCATTTTCTTATAAATGAGCATTTTTTTTTTTCATCTATAAACACATAATTAACATTTTAATATTTTAAAAGAATCTGCAAATCTTTTAGAAATCAGAATTATAAATAGAAAAACAAGAAAGAGTAAATCAATTTAATGATAAAGATAACAATAAATTAGCTATAAATTTATAGTTGATCATTCTTTCTTCAAAGATATTGACTGCTCCATGGACATAATAGATACTTGAGCTATTCACCAAGTTAGTTTGGGACTCGACTCATTGTATTTTTATTTAATGGCGTCTTTTTTTTTTTCTTTCTAAAACAAAATTAAATTATCTTTTTCTTTTTTTTTTTAAATAATTTTATAACGAACTAAATGTAATATAGGGTAAAATAAATAAGCATAAATTAAACAGGTATTGAGTTGTTTCTGGGAAATAGTTTAAAGCAAAGCAAGGTATTTGGGAGGCAGATTCAGTTCAATAATGTATGTGGGAGGTCACATTCAGTTCAGTAATGTATGTGGGAGGTCACATTCAGTTCAGTAATGTATGTGGGAGGTCACATTCAGTTCAGTAATGTATGTGGAAGGTCACATTCAGTTCAGTAATGTATGTGGGAGGTCACATTCTGTTCAGCAATGTATGTGGTTTAAAAAGCTAATAAATCAATATATATTGGTTTCAGTTGAAAGGTCAAGCAATTATTTATTTGTAGCATTTCAACAGAAAACTGATTTTTAAAAAGTAACTTAAGAAATGATCTGGTTGTATTACATGAAAGGTTCATTTAATAATTAGTGAAATCATAAAGAAAAAAAAGAAGAAAGCAGGGGTAGCCCTAGAAATAAAGCATCAAAAATACAATTTAAAGAGGTTTCCCTGCAGTTGCCTTTACATCATAATTGTGCTATGCCACATCTTTGTTACCTTTATTGGTTTTGATTGAAATATAATATTAATTTTAAATTAAGGAGTTATTGTGATCATTACCCGCTATTAACATCTCTAAAAAGAGATAAATTTGCAAATAATTAATTGGGCTTTCTTCATATTAGTGTTTACTTGCTGAGAATAGAGATTCAAACATACCCTTTAAACTAACCCTTCAACATACAGATCTCTATAACCTTGAATTCAACCAAACATAATTACCCTTCAACATACAGATCTCTATAAACTTGAATTCAACCAAACATAATTACCCTTCAACATACAGATCTCTATAAACTTGAATTCAACCAAACATAATTACCCTTCAACATACAGATCTCTATAACCTTGAATTCAACCAAACATAGATACCCTTCAACATACAGATCTCTATAACCTTGAATTCAACCAAACATAATTACCTTCAACATACAGATCTCTATAACCTTGAATTCAACCAAACATAGATACCCTTCAACATACAGATCTCTATAACCTTGAATTCAACCAAACATAATTACCTTCAACATACAGATCTCTATAACCTTGAATTCAACCATACATAATTATTCCCACATTTTTTTCTCAGGCCTACAAAGGCTTAGATTAGTTAATTTATGAACTAATTATTTTACTGTTGCTATCGTCAGCGGTATTGTCCCAAAATTTAATTATTCCTCTACTTCAAGAACAAGGATCAATTTGATATCTTTGTTATTTATTTTTGTTATGTTTCTGCAAGTACTACATACATTTTTTTATATAGACTACATATATTTTTAAATAGACTACATATATTTTTTATATTTATGAAATTTAATATGAATATATTTTAAAAATAGATGAGGTTCTAGAAAACTTTTTAAAATTAAAAAATTTAACCCCAAAAAATCTGTAATTTATAATTTCACTATTCTAGACATACAAAGGGAAGTTAGTAAAAAAAATATGAAAAGAGACACCTAGTTAAATAAAATCGTAAAAGGGGATTTTTAGAAGTGTTCAAAATCCTTTGTAACGTTGGCACTCATGAAAAAATTAAGACCCTCTGCATTCTGGTGTGACATGATAAGATCTCACTGCTTACTTTGGGGGTATCACTGCAGCAGCTTTGGGCTGCTCATAGTCAATCATGGATCTGATCACTTCCTCTTGAGTCACAATCTGGAACAAGGCGTCATCGATATCATCCTCACTTCCCCTGGCACTCAAACCGGCATCACTTCTCGTCTCCTCATCCTCTTTGCTGGACGTGAGCCCCTCATAAATATCATCCATGTCATTAATATCAAAAGGATTAGGGGCTGGGTGGACTAAGGCAGGGGTGGTTCTGTAAAGGGAAGTATAAACAGGTACTGCAGGTATAAACAGGGATTTCAGAAGTGGGCTTTGTGAACTCTGCAAATTGTCCATTTTAAGATAGTCTTAGGCAAAGGTCTTAAAACAAGCATTAAGATAAGGGTTTACCATGTCACACATTGGATGGTGTCATCCAATCATACATTGGACAATACAATGGTACCTCAGAGAACTATCACACATTGGATGGTGTCATCCGATCATACATTGAACAATACAATGGTACCTCAGAGAGCTATCACACATTGGATGGTGTCATCCAATCATACATTGAACAATACAATGGTACCTCAGAGAACTATCACACATTGGATGGTGTCATCCAATCATACATTGGACAATACAATGGTACCTCAGAGAACTATCACTCATTGGATGGTGTCATCCAATCATACATTGGACAATACAATGGTACCTCAGAGAGCTATCACACATTGGATGGTGTCATCCAATCATACATTGGACAATACAATGGTACCTCAGAGAGCTATCACACATTGGATGGTGTCATCCAATCATACATTGAACAATACAATGGTACCTCAGAGAACTATCACACATTGGATGGTGTCATCCAATCATACATTGGACAATACAATGGTACCTCAGAGAACTATCACTCATTGGATGGTGTCATCCAATCATACATTGGACAATACAATGGTACCTCAGAGAACTATCACTCATTGGATGGTGTCATCCAATCATACATTGAACAATACAATGGTACCTCAGAGAACTATCACTCATTGGATGGTGTTATCCAATCATATATTGGACAAGACAATGGTACCTCAGAGAACTATCACTCATTGGATGGTGTCATCCAATCATAAATTGGACAAGACAATGGTACCTCAGAGAACTATCACTAATTGGATGGTGTCATCCAATCATACATTGGACAATACAATGGTACCTCAGAGAACTATCACTCATTGGATGGTGTCATCCAATCATACATTGGACAATACAATGGTACCTCAGAGAACTATCACTAA